CCTTCACCCCAATCTGTCATCATTCCCTCTGAAATGTCTCTCATCCAGCCCTCCCTGCCGGCAGCTCCCCTGGACTGCAGCCTCACCCCTTCCCTGCCCTGACTGCAGCAACAGCTCTCAGTGGGTCCCTGGAAGCCACCCTCTCCCCTTCCTGTCCACTCTGTGAGGGCTGCCTGCTGAGCCTTCTCTCAACTCTTCTATGGCACCCTTCCCGGCTCCAGAACCTATTATGGCTCCCTACAAGGCTTGAACCAAGAGCAAAGTCCCGTCCTGTTAGGAGAAGCCCCCTGGACCCTAAGGTTCTGATCTCAACTGTTCACTCCCCCACCTCCACCCTCCCACTCCCCTGCCATGGTGCATTCCCACAGCAATGCGGAGCACAGGAAGAAGCGACAGCCCAGCTCCCAAAGGCACACAATCTAAGGGGGAAGCGAGGCCCACAGACACAGGGACAGTTGACTTTTCACATCCTGTTCTGCAGTGAAGGAACTGAATGTGTGGGGCAAGCAGTAATGTCTCTACTCCCAGTACAAAACACCCCCCGTTCAGGCCACCCTCCCCTGGGGAGCCTGGGATACACCATGCTCCCCATTCAGGACTCTGAGCCTCTGGCACCCGTTTGTGGACCTGTACATGCACATTCCTACCCTGCCTAAACACAACCTATCCCTCCTATGGCCTCCTTCAGGAGGCCGGCCTTCCCTGACCATGTGTAGGAGGCATGTGGGTTTCCTCTACTTCTTCCTTACTCAAGTAAGGGCCCTCATTTCCTGTAAGGAATCCACTGCTCCCATAGGCCGGGTCCCTGCACTTCAGCTGGGGCTAAACCCAGGGTGTAGGAGTAATACCCTTAACAGGGTCTATGCCAATTGGCGTGTCATGCCCTCTGCCCCCACAATGGGCTCTGGGATAGACAGGAGAACCCAGCCAGGCCAGCGGGCCTTCCGAGGAGATACTGACACAGAGGAAAGCCCTCTTTCCTGCTGGACCTGAACCTGAGTGTACAAGCTTCTGGCCCTATTGCAGAGTGAAGCCTGGTGGGGAATGGGACCGACCCAGAAGCAGCAAGCTGGGATGGAATGGAAGAAACATCAGGTACTGATGACATTACTTAAGCCCTGCAACTCCAAATCCTGCTCTACTGATTGATTGCTGTTTGCTTCAACTGGTTTAGGGAGTTCTGACTGATTAAAAAAAAATGGTGGCACATTTAAGTTTTTACTATTTTGAGAGAGAGAAAGAGAGAGCACAAGCAGGGGAGAGGCAGAGAGACAGGATTGCAAGCAGGCTTTGTGTTGTCAGCGCAGAGCCTGACGCGGGGCTTTATCCCATGAACTTCGAGATCATGACCCAAACCAAAATCAAGAGTTGTACATTCAACTGCCAGAGCCACCCAGGCGCCCCAATGTGCCACCAATTCTTACTTATTTCTCCCTTCTCTAGATCCCTAGAAGCCTGCACAATTAATGTTATACAACCAAGACTCCATCTACCATCATCCATCATCAGGGAAATATGAATAAAAACCACAATGAGATACCACCTTACACCTATCAGAATGGCTAAAATTAACAACTCAGGAAACAACAGATGTTGGTGAGGATGCGGAGAAAGGGGCACCCTCTTACACTGCTGGTGGGAATGCAAACTGGTATAGCCACTCTGGAAAACATTTAGGAGGATACACAGAAAGATAGAACTACCTCAGAAATTTAAAGATAGAACTACCCTACGACCCAGCAATTGCACTAGTAGGTACTTATCCAGAGGACACAAAAATACAGATTCGAAGAAGCATATGCACACCGATGTTTACAGCAGCATTACTGACAACAGCCAAATTATGGAAACAGCCCAAACGTCCACCAACTGACCAATGGATAAAGTGGATGTAGTGTGTGTGTGTGTGTGTATGTGTGTGTGTGTATACACAATGGGATATTCTCAGCCATCAAAAAGAATGAAATCTTGCCATTTGCAACAATGTAGACGGAGCTACAGTGTATTATGCTAAGCAAAATAAGTCAGTCAGATAAAGACAAATACCATATGATTTCACTCATATGTAGAATTTAAGAAACAAAACAGATGAACAAAAGGGAAGGGAAGGAAGAATAAAATAAGATAAAAACAGAGAAGGAGACAAACCATAAGAGACTCTTAACTATAGAGAACAAACTGAGGGTTGTTTGTAGGGCACTTGTAATGAGTACCAGGTATTATATGTAAGCGATGAATCACTAAATTCTACTCCTGAAACCAGTACTACACTATATGTTAAGTAACTTGAATTTAAATAAAATCTTGGAAAGAAAAAAAAAAAAAAAA